TAAACCAAAACTTTTTAGCTTGAAGAGTTTCTTGATGGCTGCTTTCTCCTTAATCTAAGCCGAACCGGGTGCAGAATATTAGGACATAAAACTTCATTCATTTTATTTGCATGTTATAGACAGCTTTCAGTTTAATTTCAAACTTAATTTTCATTTCAGAAAAGAAGCAGTAAAATTCCTGAGTTCAAATGAATTTCCAAAATGCCACCCTGTGAGGTAAAATGATAAAGAGTTAAGGATTAGTATGGAAGGGCAGGAACAACAAAATGGCTCTCAAAATGTGGAAGTACAAGTACAAAATATACCAACAGTTGATTTACAAACATTACAAAATTTACAATCCTCACAAACTCTGACACCAGTTGATTTAGCTAGTTTATCTGGAGTTGAATTACAAAATCTTCAAAATCAACAAATATTTGATCCTCAGAGTTATTTAAATATTTTACAGTCTCAGTTACAACATGTACAGGTTCCAATGCAGCCTGGAAATCAACAGGTAACAATTAACCGTTTTTGTCCAACATTTCCAATTATCAAGCAGAAATTCTATCACATTTGATACAACAGTTTTTCATCTCCCATCTTTCTGAAGCTTTTTTCCCCTGACACAAAAAGGGTGTTTCAACCCAACGTAAGAGGTACTGGGCATTGGTATTGACACTCTCAAAGATTTCATATTGGATGAATTAAGATGTTATACTTGTCAAATACCTACATTTTGTTACATATTGATTCTAGACCAATGTTTTATTTTTTTAGGTTTTTCAGATTGGACAAAACCAAGTATTATCAGGCCAACAGATAATGCAGCTTCAAAACCAACCCATTCCTGTTCAAAGTCAAAATGGACAACAAATTCAAATCCAGGGACAGAATGGACAGCCAATTCAGTTACAAAGTCAGAATGGACAGACTATTCAGCTGCAAGGACCAAATGGACAGCCTATTCAAATACAGGGTCAAAATGGTCAAGCATTACAACTTCAAAATGGACAGACTATTCAACTTCAAGGACATCATGGACAAACTATTCAGTTACAGGGACCAAATGGACAAATTATTCAGCTACAAGGACAAAATGGACAGCAAATTCAATTAAATGGCCAACAAATTTTACAAAGTGCTAATGGACAACATATCATTCAAGGTCCCAATGGGCAGCAGATGCTTCAAAGTGCAAATGGACAAGTGCTACAAGGACAAAATGGACAACAGCTAATCCAAGGACAAAATGGACAACAGATTATCCAAGGTCAAAATGGACAACAGCTAATCCAAGGACAAAATGGACAACAGCTAATTCAAGGACAAAATGGACAACAGCTAATCCATGGACAAAATGTAAGTTTCTTTAAGTTAGCACGAACAGCAAGACATACCTATTCTTCGTGAACATCTGTTGATAATGTGCATATATTATTATTAAGATTTAAAAAAACAATATTGTAAATCAATATTCTGTCCACTTCATAACTTATGATCATGATCGGTTATTTGGACTTTGATTGGTTAATCCCTTTTAATACATTGATGATAATAACCAATCAAAGTTTTAAATAAATGAGAACGCTATTATGGATATGCTACCCCCATCTTTAATTTTTCCAATGTTTCAATTCACATACAGCATACAGGAATCTTTATCGAGATTAAATCAATAGTTTTTTGAGGAATGAGGAATTAATGAAAAGGAAAAAGGTCCTGTTAATTTATATCTTTGATTATTTTTAGATTCCTGTATTAGCTAATCAGGGTTTTCAAGGTCAAGCCATTCCACAACATGTAAGAAACTTCTCTTCATCATTGGCTTCCTATGATTACATTTAGTACTGCCAAGTGGTTTGGTTTAAACTTTTAAACTTCTAACCTCGTGATTATATTGTTTTTACTTAAGTGTCATACACTAAGAGTTCTGGGTAGGCCTATATGATGCTTAGGCTTATACTCACACAGTTTCCAAACCGTTTCAATGGAAACATGTGGAAGCTTACTTAAATCAAATTTAAACTTAATTTTTATTTTTAGATCATTTTTCCACAACCAAACGGCCAAAATCAGATAATGAATTCCTTTATTCAAACACCTAGTGGTCAAATAATCTGGCAACAACCACTTAACCCTGATGGGACTCAGCAAGTTCAAGGACAAAGTAAGCAGCGATACTTATTAAAGTTAACACAATACATTGCAGGTTGCATCATTCTACTGTGTCATAAATAAAAATGAAAGTTTTCCTGCCTCCACTAGAACCACAAAATTTGGCTTAATTTAGGCTACTGCATGTTTTCTCATAATATGGGATTTAATTATTTTAAAAGTGTAATACAGAAATACACTCGCAGAAGACAAGCAAGTGCATGATATCTCAGCATAGAGTTGAGCGATAGTACGATATTATCGAAAAAACTGGTTTGAGAAAAATACGGATGATACGGTATGGCATTTTTGCTATGTCGGTATATCTTGTGATGTTATCATGATGATATTTCGTGATATCAAACATAAAATAGATGACATCATGAGATTATTTTCATCTCAAATAACCATTAAGAAACCACGTTACACAGCTCCTTATAGCTTGCCAGAAGATAATTACTGTCTCTGATCCTGGGCTATCTAATTACATTTGAATCACAAATAATATCCATTTGCTAAACCTCACTTTTGTGGCATTTCGTGAAGGTTGGTGAGAATTCAGAAATCCAGATCATGAATCCCCTTCCTGCAATGTATTGGTTTTTCAAGAGCTGTGCATGTTGTGTACTTTCGTGTTACAGAACCTATATTCACACCCATTTTGGTAAATGCTAGAGTTTGGTAAGGGAATGATATTGAAATGTTCATTATATGATGCATTACAACAGGAATGCAGCTCTTGATACCCTTTGGTTTGACTAATGTATAACTGTGTCTGCTTGAGAATAACCCATGCTCATGGCCAAATTGTTTGGGTTAATGTGCCATCTCAATTTGACATTGTGTCTTAGATATTGGGTCTCATGCGCCAGTTTTCAAATACTTTTTGAGCAGAAACAATAAACGAGATACTTTATAACATTACAAAGAGTTTATTTCTGGAAATTTTCTATATCACATTATTTTAACATATCGTGATTAAAAACTATATTGCGATACACAAAAAATCTCAGCTACTAACTTATGCCAAAGGGAGATAATTTGAATTATTTGTGGTCTGTATCCATTTAATTTACTCTTTCTGTCTTATTTTTTTAGACATGTTTCAAGTGCAATATCCATCAAATATGAATCAGTTTGTGCAGACAGCAGGTGGTCAATTGATCAATGGTCAGTTTTTACAAGTTGGTCAACCTATTCCAACCTCTCCAGGAACCTATTTCCAGCAGAATGGCCAGCTCGTCCAAGCAGCATCCACTACAGAGGAGGCATTGAATACATCTGTCGGTAGTGAAGTTGTCTCTAGTCCTACATCACAGACCATTACTACAGATGAAAATAACGTTGTTCTGGTCAGTGTTGTTGAAACAATTGCTTCCAGAAAATGTATATAAGATATTTTTCAATTCTTAGTTTCCTTTCACATTTTGGACTTTCTAAACAAGCTAGTGGCGCTTTTATGAGAACTGGCCCAGCTTTTCCTATCACTCTCCCCTAAACCCCGACAAAATATACAATTTGTTTGGAAGATTTAAGGGTAAATTTTAATTTTGATTAAGTTGAACGGCAAAGTTACATTGCAAATCCGATTAGACTAATTAGTTACAGCAATTAAAATTAAATGTTAATTGAACCTATATTATGTTTATTACTGTTCTGATATAAAATGTCACCTCTGAATAGCTGTAAATTTTTGTTGAGTACTCTTAGTCATCTTTGTTTCTTGGTAGTGTTATTGTTTATGTAATAATTTACTTTATATCTATGATTACTGAAACGCACATGACTTTTATCAATGTTAACAATGGAATTTTTTTCAGATGGTGCCTGGTTCAACCAATACAACCACTGTAAACCGTATTGCTATACCAAACTGTGATGATATTATAGATGAACCACTTTATGTGAATGCTAAGCAATACCATAGAATATTAAAGCGTAGAATAGCTCGTGCTAAACTAGAGGCAGAGGGTAAAATCTCAAGATGTAGGAAGGTAAGAATCATCTTATTGTATGATAGGTCTGCATGTTGTTCAGGGATATTAAGTTCTCTCCATTTGCCGTTTGATTGAAGTTACAAATTGTCCTTGAGGATCAGTTAAAGAATAATTTAAACCAAATTATGTATCTTGTATATCTCCACCAATGCTTGAATTGTGAATTCACATGTTAAAAAGTTTGTTTTTACAGCAGTTTTTCTTTGAACCAATTGGCTTACCTCCCCTTTGTCATTTTTTTTCAGAAATATCTACACGAATCTCGTCATAAACATGCTTTAAAACGAATAAGAGGAAATGGAGGAAGATTTTTCTCAATTAAAAAGGAAGATGATATTAAAGAGGTAGACCTTTGTAATTTACATTTCAAGAAGATCATTCTCAGTTTTGTGCTCTTTAGTGCTACCATAAATCTTAATCCTGCTTACTTGAGCTATATTACCAGATATATTTGATATGTAATATAACTTCAATCTTAACAATTTATGAAATTGTTTGAAATTTAATTCCAGGAACCATTGAGTCCATCAAATGATCCATATAACTTTGATAATGAGAGGTATTCTCCTGTTAGTTTTAATGGAAATTGTGGTGTTTCTCCATTTGTTCCCAAACTAGAACCAGACGATACTCCAAACTCATCTGCTGAACAATTCAACCAATCATCATTAGATCTGACATCTATTACCATGGCAACACATATACCTGACCAATCAATGGTCACTTAACATTTTTTTGTGTTTATTTATTTTATTGTTATTTTTTATCATTGTTAGTGCATTTTAGAGATCAGCTCTGAGTTTTTTTCAGAACCTTGTACATTAAAGATTTGTGGATGGTGCTTTTATAGACTTGGCTCTTATTGCAAGCTATGGTTTGCTTTTTGCTGGCCAAAGTACTGACTAGTAGCTGCTTAGTGATGACGAATGGCAGTTACTTTGAGATTAGTGCTGGCTGATGGTAGCTTGTTTCTGTCCAAATGATGAAGATTATTGTGCAACGTAGAAGACATACACAAATTAAATTTGTTATTGAGGCTTTCTTATCATTCTCATTATAAGAAATCTTTAATTCTAGAAAAGGCTTGTTGCTTTGTGTACTGAAAATAGAAGTTGAACAAGCTTCCTGTTTACATACCAGGAAATCTTGTTCCAATGTTTGTAAAGGAAAATAATCTCACAAAGATTATAACTTATAAATTGTATTTGTTATGGACTTAAAAGTTTCATCTCTCTATTTGATTGAAATCCATGAAATATAGATATATTTCAATTTGTTTACTAGTCGTTGTTTACAGCATTTTTTGTGTATTTTTATTATCTTGATATTATGTTGTTTATTATTGTATATTTTGGTTGTTTTGTTAAAGTAGAAATGCCTTGTTGTGCTTAAATTGTCATTTTGTATCAGTTTAATGCTTTAAGTTTATGAACTGGTTTTATGTATGTATGTTTAAAATAAGGCTGTTGAAATGATTTTGGTTAGTTATTAAAAAATACTTTATTTCTTATTACAGAAGGTTCAAAAATCTGCTTAAAATGTCCTTTTAGAAAAAATTTTTGATTGTGCTGGCTTGCTTTCTAGTTGATCAGACTATTTCATTAAGCAGCTGTGCTTCGCTGTTTTTGTTATTGATATAAGTCATCTACCCATCTTCATAGCTTCATATCATACATGTATTTGTAAATTTGTTTTATTAGAATCTCTTGCAATTAGATTTATTGAATATTTGAAATTATGATATTCGGTTTGATCTACTTAATGTATTTTACTGCCATCATTCATCATCATCATTGTTATAGTGCTAAATAATCATTTTGTAATCATTCATCAATGTTCATTTATTAATGTAATAAATTTGATTATCTGCTGAAATTGATGCATCATTTTAAAAAACTGAGATTTTGTGTGCTCAGATTATTTAGTTTTGTTTTGGAAGAAATTGTTTTTATTTTTAAGTTACTGACTCTTTCAGTGATAATTGGCAGGAATAGAAAATAATATGAATAGTGAATAACAAGAACAATGGATAACAACTATCACATCTATTTATAAAAAGTATTGTAATTGTTATTCATAAAGTGTTGTTATAATACATACATATAGTTATGGACAGAATCTGTTGTCCTAAATTGTTTAAACCTATACCTAATGTCTGACAGAGGCTTTTTTTATGCCCTGCCTTTATGTCTGGAAATTGAGCCTAATAAATAGTTACTACTTTCACATTACTTAGAAGATTTTAGTCTAAATAACACCAAATGGTTGTTCATATTAGCAATTCACGAAATTGTGAATCTGACTGCCTAGTATTAGAACATAGAACAAATCTCTTTCTCTTACATATCTTACTGTCCAAAAATGTTTTGATCATAGGTTTTGCTTTAAATGTTATGATAGTATTCAAATCCACCTAATATTTTAATGGCATTCAATTATAGACACTAGTGTATCTTAAAGCGTATTTCAAATTTTTTTTAATGTTAAATTTTAGTCAAGTGCTTTTACTCTGAACTTTTTTTATGTACTTTATTTGTAAATTATAAGGTATTCCTTTGAATTAAATGTTATTTTATTATTTGATTAAACTGATGTTTTATTTGGTAATTTATTTTCCTTTGCCTAACTGGATTTATTGTTTGCTTAATAGCATTTTGCACTTTTGTAGGTCGATATTTGATGTGGTTGTCACTCAAAGCAAACTACTGGTCTTGGCTTGACTTGTGCACCTCTTTCCACATGTAGGCATACAAGGAGTTTTAAAGGTAACTACCTCTTAGTATGGACATAAAATTTAAAATCTCTGTATATATTCATACCAAGTGTCAAAACTTATGAATAAAATCTGTATAGATGATATCTATTAAACTAATAATTATAGAAACACACTTCTAAGCTTCTACACTAGGTAAACCTATGGTCATCCTAAATGGTAGTTGGCCTATACCTTTAAATGAATCCAAATAACATAATTATTTGCCAACAACTGCTGAAATATATAATATATTACTTGGATCATTTGCATGTACATAATAAGAGATGTAGCCTACAGGTAATACAATTCTAATCCACTGACTGACAGTGCTTAGAAATAGGGCCTGTGTTTCAGTATGGAACATTTTAGATGATCATTTGTACAAAGTTTTTAATAGAAATAAGAAAACATCTCAAAATATAATTTCAAATGATTTCACGTTATACATCACTTCGGGTAAAGTGTTAGTAAATGTTTAGCACAGGCGTAATTCCTCAATTCCAGGCAGTTTTCTTGATTTCCAATTATTAAGCTTCTTCAAAGTGGAATATGGCTTCTGACAAATCACTGATATTACAATTTCACAGTTTGATGAATCTTTGGGTTTGAGGCTAAAAGTATAGGATTGTTTGGTCTGAAGCAATTTCTCTGCATTACAGCACGGTTTTCTCTGAATTTTCATTGACTTCAAGATTATTCAAGTGACATAACTCTGGTTTCTCCACGTTGTCTGGTCTTATCATAATTTCCATTTCTTCATCCAATGGGGGTAAAGATGATTTACATAATTTGAATACAACCATGGCACAACAAGCATGACTTAACATATTACTCCCTGTTCTTATTCTGTCTCTGAAATAGAAGAAAGCAAAATATTTTAAGAAATACAAAGTAATTTTCTTGTTTGCCAAAACGCAGACGTTATGTCCAACTGTGATAAAAAAAAATCCCTCAAATCTGCATGTCTGGCTTCACTTAGGTTCTATCCAAAACTCTGTACACAGATTACAACGATATTCAAACGGGATTAAAAATCGATATAAAATCTGAAAGTATCATTTGTTTCTGTGATAAACACAATCGGAACAGGAAATGGACTCGTAATTCTGTCAAAGAAAAAGTCATACATCACCAACCTGTAAGCGTGATAGGCTACACTTTTTTGTTCGGTTATTGTCATTTTCTATTTATCAAGAAACTCAGAAAGGGACTAGCTTTCGTTTTGCACGATTTAACCGAAAAAATTCCTCACCCACATAAAAATCTAAAATCATGGTCGTTAGGTTTCAGCTTTGACAGATATAGCCTACATTGTTTCAGGGAAGAAAGCTAAATATTATACTTACAAAAGCCATTCCATGGCAAACAACAATCCTATATTGTCTCCTGGTATTCCTAGAGCTGTAAGATTGATTAATACTGCCATGACGCCCGCACTGGGGACAGATGGGACCGCCAGTGATATTACTGTTGTTAGCACCCTGGAATCATAAAACAGGATTGCATTTATCAAACTAATAAGCTTTCACAAATGATATTTTGCTTCAATTTCAAGGAGACTAATTTCACCAGCACTGTTCTTATATTTTTTGTTGGTATTTCGACTTTACGTCTGTAAGGTGTAGATATACACTTGCCACTCAGTTTTCTTTGTAATCTCATTTCCTCATTTCCCATTATTGCAACTATAATTGTATAATACATTGGGTGCCCGTCTAATCCGTTATAATCCATCTGGAATGACAATGACAAAAAACAACACTTACCAAATAAGAACAATTTTACCACCATCCAAGTCGACTCCAGTCAGTTGTGCTACAAATATACACGCTGCGGTAATATAGAGGGCACTACCATCTCTGTTGATAGTGGAGGCTAATGGAACAACAAACCTGGATATTCTTTTATCTACATGATTATCTTGTTCTAGACAATTCAATGTTTCTGGTATAGCAACTGCACTGAAATAATTATATAAAGATCATTAGATATTTGTATTCTCAAAGAGAATCAAAGTTAAAGGACAGGTGTTCCGAAACAAACCCTGCTGTTCTTGAGATTCTAGCCTCTATGGCCACTGAGGCTCTGTATTAAATAGTCACATCAAATAGCAATTGCAATTGTTCTATTCTAAATTGGATAATTTTATTAATTTTAATTATATAAATAGCATACAGTAACTATTTCATTATAATTTTGATTCAAGAAAATATTTCATATACCCTGATGCACTAGTAAAAACCTTTCAATATGTCTCAGCTTACCAGATCCATTTCATGATGAACTGAAACGCCTCAATCGTATACTTACGAACTAGCTGTTGCAAAGGAAACCATCCATGGCCTGGACATGCTGATAAGGAATTTGTATGGATTAGTTCTCATGATGATAAAATAATAGAGCGGTACAATTAACAACTGGTACACAGCTATAGCAGATGCTATAGTAAGTGTAAACATTCCCATAGATTTAAAGGTATCCACTAAACCACCGGATTTTATTAAAGCCACTGCTATCAGACTTGCCACACCAACTGGTGTTGCCCTGAAAAAGACAATCATACTATACATTAAGACTTCTTTAAAGCCCTAATTTAGATATATAGATCATCAAAAGCATTTAAGCTTACAGGAACAAATCAATGGTATTAAAGATACAAGCACAAGATGAGTTTTCTTTTATTGCTAAACAAAAATTATTGCTTAAAAATCTGCTGCATGCATTAAGAGCGCAATACGTACCACACCATCCATCGTAGAATCTTTAGAATTATTTCACTAGCTGAGTGGAAAAAGAGGAAGAACGGCCTGCCAAGTTCACCAACTGATGTAGTGGCAATTCCGAACAGAAGGCAGCATACGACAATACCTGTTGAAAACAGAAAACAGAAGAAATAATGGATAATATTGTATGAAATACACGTTAGCAGCAAGCTTATATGTGTTATATATAGATGTTACTGACATGGGTTTGCTTCATACTCCATCTCTATAACGTAGTTAATTTAGTCGAGGTAATTGATCATGGTATTGAGTCTCTCCATAAATTCATGCTTTTTTCCGAAAAGACTCTCTTATCTATTATTTACCTAGCACGTTGGTCGAATAAGCCACGCCTATTTTCTTGAGTTTCTCTATGACTGTATTATTGACAACATTACCACTAACGTTCAATCGGATAAATTCTTCTTGAATTTCATATTTTGTTTGTGACTAAAAAATAGAAAATTTCATTATGTAGGTCATGAAACGCGTGAGATGCGCGTGCATTTTAAATAGGTCAAGTTAAATTTCCCGTTTTCAAATTCCTGTTTTATCACCAAAATCTTAAAAGCAAATTTTAGATATGAAGACAAAAAGATACCATAATGTTGAAAAATAATAGTAATTAAAAATTGGGTCTTTTTCAATGTTCTTGTGTACATTTACCCTAATAGTATTACCTGCTGAAAACTAGCAGCGACAATATTGTCTGGGAAAACATTCCTGTGGAAGATATATCATATTACAAAACAACATAACATTAACTAATACACTAAACATAATTATGCTAATTTATGCATATATATATAAACAAAAACATGATATTTTGATATAAATCACCAAGAAAAAAATAGTCCTTTTTCATCGAACTTAAGAATCGTAATGGTCAAAATATACATAAAAAACGAAATGTGCATATTATTTAAGTTATAGGTGAATTTATGTGAATAATCAAATGTGAACCAAAGAATTGAAACTGGACGAAATTACAACAATTACCATCTACGACTATACAAATTTATAATCAAATATAAAATGTTATTACCGAAAAAGGTCAGCAAATATATCAGACGTTTCCATAACTGGCTGGTCAACCACTCTCTGTCCATTTGAAACATCAACACCTTCACCTAGAAGGACATAAATATTTTTTAAGTAAATAATATTAAAACCAATTTTCGTGGTTAGAAAATGTTAGTAACATTCCCTGCGATAAATATCTTTGTTCGAGAGCTTTCGTTTGGGTTGTTTTGGGATCATGTGCCAACTTTTTTTTTATGCATATTAATCAAAAATAAGTACCTGGTCTAATAATCAATGCCATTGCCATGCCAACCAGACATGGTAAACAATTAGTTGCTAATATATATACTAATGCAACTATACTGATTTTGCCGTTGGACTTGGGATCTAACGACGCTGTACCTGAAATGAGGGAGACATTAAAGGTATCATGTAATTGAAAAATGATGTTTAACAATACGTGTAGAAGGCATACTTCGTTTCTCAGGAATTTGTCAAATATGATGCAATGCATCTAGATCCCTGGTTCTGAAGCTTGCGGGTCTGTTTCATAGGCTTGGAACTAGGCTTTGAACTAGATTTAGATCAATAGAGGCATGGGAAAGACTTCACTTATATGATCATACCTGCTATAACACTACAAATAATCAACGGTAATATCATCATCTTTAAGCTTCTCATGTACATTTCACCCGGTATTCCTATAACAGACAATACATGATAATAGATAAAAAGACTTAGTTCACAACTACTTGTCAGAAAGCTCAAATTAGTTCAATATCTTCAAAAAATCAGAGAGTTATTCTAGATGTTACAAGAAGGTCCAAGTAAAACATGTTATTGGTATGATTTTGAGATATAATGTTTCATCACTCAACGATCCCGAGTTTAATCTCTTTCCCGAATTCTACACCTTACTATCGATGCGAAAAAACTGTTTTTTCCTTTAATACAAATATTGTGAGCATCTAACGACCCGTTTCAGCCAATCATAGCCTATACATCAAATTTTGAATTTATTTTCGCGCCACAACAAGATCGACTTTGTAATTCCAGATAATGTTATCTTTTTGTACCGTTAATTTTGTCATTTGCGGTTTGGGTGGTTATATTCAAATAAAATACTCAAAAGGAACATAATTACCTAAGAACATAAATATGAGGTCATCGAACCAAGGTTGATTGGCCATTATTATGTAAAAGTTAACAGTGGAAAAGCTATTAGTTTAAGTATGTTATATTATCATACTGTCGACCTTCATTTAGTCGATATCAGCTTATACACGGTACTTTTCCCCCATTCTACTTCTTGAAGTACAACAAGTCATTACTAATTCACGTAGAATATGAATCTTTCTGTGAATACTTTTAACAATTTTGGTACACAGAACACAGTTCACAAAAGAACGAACGAAAAAACAAACTTAAAAACGTTCAAATATGCAGTTATAAAATGTTAAAATTTTGACTATTACATATTTTGAACATTCTGCTATGGACGTTTTAAAGTTCGCGGTTTGGCCGTTTGAAAGGCATCTGATAATTAGACCATTGTGACATTGTGACCAAAGGCTTACCCTCGTTGGTCAATTTTCTTATATGATGTAGTATCATGTTTTAAATGACAATCGGATGCTTGTGGTACGGCATCTCTCAATGTTAAGCTATTGCAGTTCTTAATAAGTTGGTATTCTGAAGATGCCGGTACGAGTGCAACTTGAGTTGTCATCATCATTATCTACACGTGTAACCAATGATACATAGTTTCATATCTTTTATAGAATGAGGTCACATTGCATGTGCCATAAACTAAGTAAATTTAAACTATTGACATCAGAGTAGAGTTAATGTAGGGTCTGTGTAGTGTTTAACAGCATAATAATAGTTTTATCTCTGTCATAAATAATAGCATAACAAATCACATAATATATTAGAATTTCGATCCATGGAAAAAGTTTGAGATTGGTAGTGTGCACAGTGCAATGAGCAATTTTCCACGACTTTTTGATTAAACTAGTATATTAAACACGTTAAATTCACGTTCTCCTATAACATATTGGGAATAGGTACTCGACAACATAATTGAAATGAGGTGATAATTAGACCATATACATATTTATAACATCAGTTTGGTGGTAAATATATATCTTACTATTATAATGGCTGACAAATGCGAATTGTTTCATTGAATGCATGACTAGTTATGTTATAAGCTTGTCGTAAAAGATAAATACAGATAAATCTGCTTGTCCCTGTGGCAGTTTTCTGTGCTCATAACCCTGAAACACAAGTCCCTGTGTTCCTATTCTCGTCTGCAAAAATATCATCTGATGAAACACAGATGAGGTATCGATTGTAAACATCTTGTATCAATTCAAGTCAAGATTAAGACAGGGTCACTATTGTTATATTAATATTGGTAACATCTGAGTAAGTTTGTGTTACTTTAATATGATAATAAATAGTCAAACATCTTGTATTTTCCTGTGACATTTGACCAGGTGTTGGCAACTAATATTGATTGAACTGTTATATCAACAATTGAACAGAAATATTGTTTATATTATAATATATGTAGAATTTGTCGTAAGGATATCACAGAAAGAACTGTACGTCATCACACCTTCAAGATATCCAGCTATTTCGAAAAGGCTATTTTTTGTATCATTTTTCAGAATGATAATCCGATATCAGTGACCTACACGTAAAAATATTAAAGACTGTCAACGCTACTTAAATTTTAACCTGACAGTTTTTAATATTTTTACGTGTAGGTATTGAAATAATATATATATGATATTTACAGGGGGAGATCACATACACTTTACAGACCGACTATTCCGTTCTGAAAAGTACTACGAATAGCAGAAATTTACTATCGGAACTAAAACACCCACACTCAGCCGAGAAAGTAAGTGTTTAGATGACTATTATTATCCGTTTCAGATGTTCAAGTTTCAGTGGCATAATACTATTTATCTTTACACATAATGCAAATCGGATCGGAGTTGAATATACACGAGGAAGCCACATTTCGAAGGTCATAGCTGAAATTAAATTTTGAAATCTTCAAATAGTTAAAAGTTCATGATATATACTGGATCTATAGTTTTTGTTTTTGCCACTTGTGACCTAAATCAATCTTATATATCTCAACAATAACAACTGTATTCTAGCGCTACTTGAATTTCATTTAAGAGAACTAGAGTATTCGGTCAAGGTCAGCAATGGCATCATTTCAGAAGTATATTTCATAGAATATTGTTGACATCGTGTCCTTACCATGTGTTATTTTGAACTAAATCTGATATTTATTTATCCCATATTAAATAAATACTTGTGGTCTTTAAAAACAAAACCATAAATTCAACTTAACCATAAAAACAAATAGGTATTTATTCGATTTACTGTAATCTGTGCATAAATGCCATGATGGGTTTACTCACTGTCGAATCGAATTGAATATTTTGCATGTAACTATTTTATGTCATGGCCAGTGCCTTCGAGGTAATTCTAATGAGAAATTTCGGATATTATCCTAACTCAAATCCTTTCAATAAAGATACTCTTGAAGTAGAAAATCACGATTTAAGGTCACTTAACCTATCTTCATGACCCCCTTATACACCATGCCCATAAAGTCAATACAGGCTACCGTTCTTTTGGGGGTAACCAAAGTTGAACGTTTATAGAAATTTCTAAAATTGTACCTTGGCCTGAATTACACAAAATAACACCACTTAAAGGGGCACAGTCCTCTAGATATTTGTTTTATCATTGAACTTATCACGATTAAAGTGCTATAGATCATTAAGACTGTTGGACTCCACTGGTTTCTGTTGTATCTGGTAGTTTCTTCTCCATTGCAATCTAACAAGTTTTATACCATCATAGTTCCTTTCTTATGATGCTATTTCAACCAACCAAAGCGTGTCATGTAGGACTTCTTTCTTGCTTACACAGTGAAGAAGCCGTCGTGTTGCACTATTTTGGGTTTCAGACGCCCGAATTTGTTCAGGGAAATTTGAAAGTGCTGCTGTCTTTACACTGTTATAGTATGGTACGAAAAGAACTTTTGACGTCAGAAAATTGGGTCAGGTTACTGAGGTGCCATGCTACAAACATTATCCATGCAGACAAATGATTTGTTGCAAAAAAAAAACATGATGATAAAAACAATCTTAAATTGGTCTAGTAGGTTAATTTATTCAATTTAAAAGAACTGTTAATTCCAGAAAGTTTATCACGATAACATTCAGAACATAATTACTTTCTAGATAATAAATACGGTTACAGTTTTATTATATTAGAACATGACTGATTAACATATGATTCTAATTATCAATTTCAATATATCAAACTACATAAATATATTTCGGCATGTAGTGGTTTTCCCACTTTACAAGTTCCTCCCATATTGGTTTCCTCCCTTTAGAAGTTCCTCCCTAGTGGTTTCCCCAAGTGGTTTCCACCTATTTTTAATCCTAGTGGTTTCCACCTCTATTCTAGGTGGTTCCCTATATTTGCAATGTTACAATGTTGAAATGTACTACAAATTCTTTTCGTGTATTTCATTGACTTAGTTTATATTTTACACTATACCAACATATGATAGAAATGTCTTGGGGGAGGGGGTTATTGAGTTTCATTGCGCCTTGTAATGCTTGCTGCTATGCCATTGTGCAGAAAAGAAGCCCTAAATCGACATGAACCATGGAGTTATTTACAAAAGCATTCTTTACTGCCACATGCCAATTTTGAGCATAGGCATAGTCACCATTGTACATGCTCGATCGCAGACCTTAGTTTATATTTTACACTATACCAACATATGATAGAAATGTCTTGGGGGAGGGGGTTATTGAGTTTCATTGCGCCTTGTAATGCTTGCTGCTCTGCCATTGTGCAGAAAAGAAGCCCTAAATCGACATGAACCATGGAGTTATTTACAAAAGCATTCTTTACTGCCACATGCCAATTTTGAGCATAGGCATAGTCACCATTGTACATGCTCGATCGCAGACCTTGCCAGTCACTGTCTTACCCGAACCTCGGTCGTTGAAACTGAAATTGTAATCTTACCTATCCAAATAACGGCATCTTGTGATAAATCGTGAGATCGTAATCCAATTCCTAATGCAAACCCAATGATAGCGCCAGTTAACGTTAATAATACCAATAAATTTGTTTTTAATACTGTCAACCACCAAGATTTATTACATATATCTTTTCCTCTAGCCATTTTTATTCCAACTCAAACTTTATCCCGAACTAGGTCAACTATTTAGGTCCATTCCTGTTTTCCTTGTTCTCAATTTTCACGTTCACGCTCTGATTTCAATGCTCCGTTAAAGTCATAAAATTGTTTCATGTACAATTCTTGCTCAGAGTTTTAAAGATGGATTGCACTTAAATTTTTCCTATTCCTTAAAATTGTGTGACACCACTTGATAATAAAACGGTGCTTAAAGTCACAGTGTTAACCGTTCCAACGTCTAACAGAAAATGAAGACCGAATTGTAAACACACTGACGGTTTTAACACATGGTGTTCATGTTATCACGTGACCTAGTAAACTGTATTGTGTAAATGATACGTTATGTTTCTGGTGTTATTCAACTTTACGCTAATTTATGTCATCAGCCGCGCTAGCTTGATTTTTTTCTAACGTATGGTACTAAAAGTTTGTTTGATTGGATTAAGAAGTGAACAAATCCCGTTCAAAAGGATTTTAGCAGTCATGGTGATAATAGGACTAAAGTGGCTCTCACAAAAGCGATCACTATTGTTGCGTATGGTTGCGAATAAGTTTCGAACACAACTCTTATGCAACTGAGAGTAACTCATGGTCACTTTCATTATTCACAACCATACGCAACTGGTAATCGCTGTGGTTTTAAGCTCCAGTTTTAAATATGGACAATGCATGCATTATTTAGGCTACAAATTGAACAGAGGGTTGATTTTTGAATTTCTCCTCTGGAATTCCTAATTCCTTCAATCGCTTGAATATACGCTGGTCGGGGTTAAGCTTAGTTCGGTTTCGGTTTCCTTTCCTATATTGTTCTTTGGAAAACTGAGAATAGTATCTTAGCTGTGAGAAATTATGATTGTGGTTTCTTTTCTCAGAACGAACTGGACACGAGTTAAATCATCTCCACTATTGTCCACATTCGTTATCAGTAGGCCTACCTTGTTTCCGAAAAAAAGTATCACTGTTGCCTCGCTAACTTTCACTACATTTAGTTCTTGAATAATTAACCTTTTCCTAGTACCTTACGATAACTGTGGTCTGTATACAATTTTGAGTTATGCCCCTTCTATTACATTTCCATGAAGTCATTTTTCAGCCGATTCAGCTGTAAATTCCTGACAATGACCGGTTGGCAGGTTCTATTACAACTGCGAGTTTTAAGGTTAGTTGCCGTGGACTTTTTTTTATTATATAGGCAGAGGTCAACATGGGAATGATCAAAACCTGGCTTCATCCTGTCGACAATGATGTATGTGGGAGGGGTTGACATGAACAAAATGATGTAGTGGTTCAGTAGGAACTGTGAACTAGCAGCATAGCGAGGATTTCATTGACGTGGTGGGGAGGAGGGGTCATTATATTTTATGGCACTATGAATGGGGGGGTTGGGGGGGGGGGGGGGTGTGCATGGCAAAAATGTAAACGCCACTGTTATAAATATAGTTCCCATTTGCTTCAGACTGTACACCTTTATGACACCTCTGTCAATTACACAATTAAAATGGGATCAATACCTCTGCTGTAACAAATTCAGTAGCGAATGAAACAACTCAGTTGGTCAAGCGATTCAATACAGAAAGTGTAATAACGGTTTTAAACTCTTTATTTTTTAACATGTTATGCGCACAGTAATCAAAATACAATATTTTAACAAAATTTACAGAGGTACATAGAGGTCGTTTTTTCCAAATAAAAATTTCTCGTGTCCAACCAATACTTTTCCAAGGGACCCCGTAGATTCAATAATCCACAATCCTCAATATATATATATATAAATTCAAGGTAAGAAAAACATTTAAATACATCAAGATCACACATAATGGAAGACCAACTTGTCAAAACATGCAAAATGTCCACACTTTAACTCGTGGATGCAGAATATCAAGCTATTATGATATCATCGGCTTGACATCCCAATAGCCATCAATCACAAAATTCTTATCATATACTGAGAGAATTGAATTGAGCTCCCTTAACAAATATGTGGTATCTACTTTTCTCACTCAACACTTCTTTTTTTCAATGCATCAAATTAATAGTAAAAAATACAATGCAAGTCTGGTTTATATAGGGCTAATTACCATTCATAAACATAGTAGAATGCTCTTGTGAATTAATATCTATACTTCATTATACTTATACGAATTCATTCAGTACATTTATAAATATCATAAATTATCACTATGTGAAGTAAAAAATTATCATATACAAAACAATGATTATCACATTATACATCGTAACATCATCAAGGCCAATTAAACAGCAGTTTTAAATAGATATTTATAAATCAAAACGATAATTTAATTAGATCAGTAATCAATACGCTTAAGTCTGCTCTGGGAGCAATTTTCTGAAATGCCATCTGCTAAGCTGCTGCTAATGTTTTGAAAAATTGTCGTAGGCCAATCAATCTAATTAAAATAAGATAAAACAATTTCGTTTCGTCATTATTTTTTGTAGATCTCCATTGTAATCTAAAATGATTAATTCCAAGGACTCGTATAATGTAGACCGTCAAAAAATAGTAACGAAACGAAATTGTAATTTAATTTTAATTGGATTATAGGCTTCCTGCAGTGACTAACTGTCATGGATTCAGACGACGTCTGAAAATTAACAAGCAATAATTATGATTCAATAAACAGTAATAGGCGTCTGACAAATTAATTTTATTCACATAACCATAATTCATTTAACCATAGATCAATATATCCTAGAATTCTAGGAATAGGACAGATTTATATAGCAAGCTGACATAAGAGGTTCAAATTGTCTTGTCGGAACCCGATTTCAAATATTGACTATGACAGATGTTGACCAAACGAAGTAAGAAAATTATATACATGTACAGTTCTGACCAATTAAAAATATACAATAAAAATGTAAAATTTAAAAAGACATATATAAAATCTAACAAATTTACACTTTCTCACATTACAGCTTTCGGGTCACTTCGAGCAACACACTAATACCAACCGTTGGTGAGTTTGCTATATTTCCTAACGTATAGGTACGTTGGCACCAAACCTCTATTTTAATCGGATATCATGCTCCATATCTTACCAGACCACACATCAGCTCAAAATATAAACCGGATATCCGCCTCCAAACTAAAGCAAATATCTCATGGCTACTTTAACCAGCTATCAAACCCCAACATAACCGTTAACCGGATATCAGCCCTTTTACTAAACCAAGATATGATTTTTGAACTGAATTTTTAAAGCCTTGCAAATTTCACAGGTCTATTGTCTTTGCTCATTTTTTATTTAGTTATGTTGTCATAAATGCATTTTCAATAAAAAATCACTAGGTTTCTGAAATGAACCCACTCTCTTTATCACAACTAGGATTCGATGGTAGTGTAACACTTTCAAGGTCGGATGAAGCCATTTTCATGCTTCCTAATTTTGCAATATGATCAGGCGAAGTTTTGATGTAGTGTTTATCTTGGTTGTCATTAAGTAACAACTTACAATTCTCTTCAATGGACACACTGTCGTGTTTGGTTTGACGTCGTGAAGAAGTAAAACACAATTTGTCCTTTGATTTGTCCCTTGCAGCTGGTTCGAACACGACCTCAATTCCATCTGATTTACAAGTATCTGAGCTATGAAGGTCTGATATGTTGGACAAGTTATCCTCGTCTGGGTCACGTCGATCATCGTCAATATAAGCTGAATCACTACTACCATCATTCAGGAGAATGTAACCTTCCTGACGTGGTGTCAGACTGAAGCGCTTGTTAGGATTATTATACAGATCTGCAAGCTGGTGTTGGGCGAGTTCAACCAAACTATTTGAACGACAAACGGCATTTTGGACAAATTCATGTTCTGCTAACGATTGTGTAAAAAAGTTCATTTGTGCTTTTTTATCGATCTTTTCTCTTCCTAATTTATCAATAGTCGGTGGTTCACCGGGCAGAAATTCTCTCATGCATATTGGTACGGTGTTAGTGGACATACGTTTCTGGGCGACTTCATCTTGTTCCTTTGCTGCTTCATTTTCATTTAATAGACCCTTTTCATTGGGTTCCAGAGCCTTTGGGAGCTGCTCTATCTCACTCTGAGCTACTGGTTTGGAATAGTCTACATCGTTCGGTATTTTAGTGCTAGGCATGCTACTAATGGTATCCCCATGTATAAGGCATTTGATATCTTTCGGTATAATGACGCCATTTTTGCCGACATACGCACTAACAATCTGGTAGTCACAACATTTATGCGAGTCAGTGGGACTCGAGTGGGCACTGCAACATGGAATCACACATTTATTTTTTTTCGAATTCTCAGACTGCATGTTTATCTTTTCTTTATTCCCATGAAAAGACACAACCGGAAGTACCATTTCGTGTTTACGCTTATGATCGTTTGACTTTCGTTTCCGGTCGCCTCGCGTTTGTTTTGTTTTGACCTTGGTTCTTTTGACTTCCTCAAAGCCACTGTCTGTTTTAACATACGTATCGGAGGTGGAATAGACCTCTTCCACTACTTTCTTCTTTTTAGGGGAAGAGAACTCTTTGTGAATGATAATATAAGAATCAACAGCACGGCACTTCGGGTCTTTACAGGCGTATTTAGAATGGCATGTTTTGCCCGTGGTGTCAATCGGGAGCAGACTGGAATAACATCCATCTTTATCACGATCTTCACAATCGCTCTGGTCATTCTGGCGATTCCATGATTGTCTAAAGTCTCCGTTATAATTATAATTTCCACCATTACTGCTGGCAGAATTACAGCTTCCAGGTTTCTCACATGGTACCAGACTGTTCAGTCCAGAAGGCCTCCTTGACGAACCCCACGTAAATGATACATGTCGTTGACTGGCTCGTGAAAAATGCCGACCGATGGAGGAATCTTCAAGTCTTCGGCACAATGAAACGCAATCCTTTTTGAATTGTTTGGTAAATATAGCATATAGAAATGGGTTAGCACAACTGTTTAATGGTAGGACAAATATAGTCAAAACCTGAAAGAAAAGAAATTTGTTTCAAAAGAAGAGCGTCCCCTTTCATTCCACGAGATCATACATGAAAGCATCTTCACAATGTCAAGCCATTACTAACTTCGTACTTATACCTTGACTGCAATAGTCACCATTCTTGTATCAGGGAATGGAGCGATTTGATTGGATTGTATGCCAGCGAATACAGTCAATCAGAGCTCTAGACAGATCGGATGTAAATAATATGGCTATCTGTCGAGGCCTCTGATTGGCTGTATTTGCCAACGTACAATCCGATTAAATCGCTTCATTTATATGCATGTACTTCCATGATACAAGAAATGTGACTATTGCAGGCAAATTTCGTAATAGCTGGACATGAAGATGACATGAAATATAAACGTAAATTTACTGAGACTCGGTATGAATTAAATATCCTGAAGCTAGTTAGAAATCGAACAACTAAGAAATTGGAATTTCTTTTTACATTGATCTTATTTCCTGCAGGAACAAGCCACAATTGAAGTGTATTTTAATCCACATGTATTAACTTGTTGTCTGATTTTATTTTTTTTTTGTTTCAAGTGACATTCTACTTTGATGTATTTAACTAGACAATCTAACCATTTGATGAATCCTACTTACTTTAGCTTCATTGAGATGAATCAAATTTTTACCAAAAGCACTGGCCAGTGACAGCAAAGCTATAGGTGCCCAGCATATGAAATCCGTGAACACTAATAAAGCCATTCGTTTAGCTACTCTGGTATCCCCTGAATTCCACGCCTGTGATTGTCGTATGGAGAGATACATGATAAGGTAACAGGACAATATGGTGAAGAAACACAGACCATTGAAAATCATTATATAACACACATAAGCTGAAATACACAGAATAAGGAAGATTAATATACATATCCAATACCCTTTTTTAAGGTATTTTCATTTGGTATATTTTGAAATTTCTATGTTTATTGACACTGAAAATAAGACTATAAGTTATAAAGTTTATGAATTTCATAATACAATTATTACTCCCTATATTGGCAGATAGATTTGGTTTTAAAAACAGAGGCATAGTTCCCTCTTTAACCGTTACATTTTACAGAGTATAGTTTCTGTTAGTCAATACATAACGTGCATATAAGTCTTGTAACCACAGCTTCACGATATGATTCGAACAAAGTAATGCTTGAATGGACTAGTTGTTTCTTCACGTTAGCATTATATAATTTGAAGAGCGTGGAATATATAAATTTGAATCTCGTTAAAACCGTCTGATACTCTTTATGAACATTATAATGATAGAATGTTTACCTTTAGAGAATACGTCAGTGATTTCAAAAGGAAGACACACTGCAAATTTTCTGTAATCTGAGATACCAAATAATGGTAAACTAGCCAGTATTATAGAATATAACCACCCTAATAACATCACATAGCCTGAAATATTACATAACATCACATTTGTATAGCCTGAATATTAAAAAAACATTACCTACGTATAGCCTGAAATATTCAATAACATTACATAGCCTGAAATATTCAATAACATTACATAGCCTGAAATATTAAAAAATATTACATAGCCTGAAATATTAAATAACATTACATAGCCTGAAATATTAAATAACATTACATAGCCTGAAATATTAACTAACATTACATCGCCTGAAATATTAAATAGCATTACAAAGCCTGAAATATTGAAATATATTAAATAGCCTGAAATATTAAATAACCTTACATAGCCTGAAATATTAAAAAATATTAGATATGTATAGCCTGAAAAATTAAAATATATTACATAGCCTGAAATATTAAATAACATTACATAGCCTGAAATATTAAATAACATTACATAGCCTGAAATATTAAAAAATATTACATATGTATAGCCTGAAAAATTAAAATATATTACATAGCCTGAAATATTAAATAGCATTACATAGCCTGAAATATTAAATAACATTACATAGCCTGAAATATTAAAATATATTACATAGCCTGAAATATTAAATAACATTACATAGCCTGAAATATTAAAAAATATTACATATATATAGCCTGAAAAATTAAAATATATTACATAGCCTGAAATATTAAATAACATTACATAGCCTGAAATATTAAATAACATTACATAGCCTGAAATATTAAATAACATTACATCGCCTGAAATATAAAATAGCATTACAAAGCCTGAAATATTAATTAACATTACATAGCCTGAAATATTGAAATATATTAAATAGCCTGAAATATTAAATAGCATTACATAGCCTGAAATATTAAAAAATATTAGATATGTATAGCCTGAAAAATTAAAATATATTACATAGCCTGAAATATTAAATAGCATTACATAGCCTGAAATATTAAATAACATTACATAGCCTGAAATATTAAAATATATTACATAGTCTGAAATATTAAATAACATTACATAGCCTGAAATATTAAAAAATATTACATATGTATAGCCCGAAAAATTAAAATATATTACATAGCCTGAAATATTAAATAGCATTACATAGCCTGAAATATTAAATAACATTACATAGCCTGAAATATTAAATAACATTACATAGCCTGAAATATTAAATAACATTACATAGCCTGAAATATTAAATAGCATTACAAAGCCTGAAATATTAAATAACATTACATAGCCTGAAATATTAAATAACATTACATAGCCTGATATATTAAATAACATTACATAGCCTGAAATATTAAAAAACATTACATAGCCTGAAATATTAAATAACATTACATAGCCTGAAATATTAAATAGCATTACATAGCCTGAAATATTCAATAACATGACATAGCCTGAAATATTAAATAACATTACATAGCCTGAAATAGTAAATAACATTACATAGACTGGAATATTAAATAACATTACATAGCCTGAAATATTAAATAACATTACATATGCATAGCCTGAATATTTAATAGCATTACAAAGCCTGAAATATTATATAACATTACATAGCCTGAAATATTCAATAACATTACATAGCCTGAAATATTAAATAACATTACATAGCCTGAAATATTAAATAACATTACATAGCCTTAAATATAAAAATAACATTACATTTAAATCTACGATGATTTAATCATATACTCTTTTTGACGTTTTCATTAAGATTAAATGCATTTCCTAGTAATAAATACTTCATTTGCAGTGCATATCATAATCAACATAAAATCTAAAGGGCACTCTGACTTTTTACTTTACTATGGTAATATTCTATAAATGGTAACAATATGAGAATCCAAATAAATATTTATGACATGGTCATGATCTTTACAATGTATTATTGTACGTTCTGAAGATATCCATATTAATTACAAACGTGTAGGCTTTCAAACTACATGAAATCTGTAACACTTCAAAAATGACATGTCATTGGTGTGAATTCAAGGGACTTGTTCAACTGTTATATTCTTCAATTGTGCCATTATCTGTGGTCTCTTTTATTTTTATGAGATAATCTATTACAAGAAATATTTCAACACACCGATCTCTTTGATATTTGTTTTTATAGGGAAATAACTCACTTGAAAAAACGCTACTCATGCTATCGAAGCAGATCTCAATTAAACAGATAAGAGAGTTTGGGTATGGTACATTCTGATTTAAACAGAACTAAAAAAAAGTTGTAAACAATCAGAATCAGTAAGCTTACCAGCGTGTCTCAACGAGAGTCTTTTATTTAACTGCATAGCATGGGTGATAGCATAGAACCTTTCTATGGTGATAACTGTTAATGTGAACACACTAAGTTCACTGGAGAAAACCCCAACAAAGCCCGCTATAAGACAGCCTGGACTCAACTGCCACCAAATTGCATGCTTCCTAAATTCACCTAAAAGTAGAAGAAAGGTATATTTTTCAACATCACATAGCGCAATAATGCCACACAATATTGCCATAATATCTTTGTCTGATAGCAAACCATTTTTGTCTACCAGAGGAAATCAGGTGAAGCAACCTTAGACCTTGACAAAAAGACGAAACAAGCAAACAACGAAATTGCTAACGCTGATAATCGTTCATAAGAGATACAAATGTTCTCTTGGCGATTGAAATGAAGGTACTATATAAAACAATGACGAAGGTATGATACACCGCATAATTCTTACCCAATGTTGAAGCATCTACAACGGCCAGAAAACCAAGATATATTCCCATAAAGAAATCAGCACAAGCTAAATTACAAATCAGAAATCTTGGGACATCCATTTTACTTCGACTGGTAATAGACACAAATAAAACCACACCATTTCCCAGCATAGCTAACAGAAACACAAACCATACTCCACATCTCAGTGACCACCATCCAAACAGGTCATCACATGGCATAAATGGACCTATGAGAAATCGAGAAATGATCTTTAAAAATGACTGTCTCACCACTTGCATGACAAAGAAGAAAAAAGACCCAATGGTAAAAGTTCAAAGAATGTAATAGGAAAATGTTGAAATTAGAAGAAAAACAAGAAAAAATTGAGAAATAAAATGACTGAAAAAGATTGGCAAATCGTGTATCAGTCATTCAATCCTCTTATTTAGTTCAATCTTTTCAGATTTACTGTACAACTTACAGTTTACAACTTTACAGAAAAGGTTATTACCAGTAGATCTGGCAAGGGATTACCTGTCAGAAAGTCGTTATTTGTGTACATATCATCCTGTTCAACCTACGCATTTAAAAGACCAAAGCCACCAAAAAGATCCACTAAGTTTACAAACCTGGTTTTGGTTTACATGTAATTGGTGGTTTAGCCATCACAAGATCGTGTGTATAGTCACGTGGTTTATAATCCTCCAGATAATTCTGTGCTTCAGGTGGTAATGATAGATCAGCAAAATTATAATCGTAACTTCCAAAATTATCCCACACTTGAACACCCACTGAGGTGTTGTCTGAAACGAAACAATTGCTAACGTTCAGACATTATTAACTTAGCTTTTCTCTTTTTTAATTTTTGCTCACTATTACTATCATAAGTATCACTTCACTACCAAAGGAACCATAGGCGTTCTGTATCAGGACCAATTGAGCATCAGTCGAAACTTAAAGTTAACAAAACCTTTTAGTATGCAATGCAAAGTTGCTAGTAAAATTCTGTATTTCCTGTGTCACGGTGTTTTATTTAAGGTTATAATTTTGCATGCTGGAATGTCAGTAATTCTTTTCGGCAAGATATTTTTATACCCCGTTCTTACTTACCAAGATGTGTTTTCCAAAATGTTGATAAATTCTCAAGCTTTGACCACATCTCCATATTAGTTTCACCTTTGGTCAACCAAACGATATCTTCTTCAAGTTGTATCTTTTTATTTGTCTAAAAATAATCAACAGCATAAATTTATCACAAATGTCGCCTTTAAAACTTTTCAAAAAAAAAAAATGAAATGAATGGAGTTTTACGTCCTACTTTTCTGCACCATGTGGGCTAATGAAGACGGGCAACGCCATGCAGGGTGCGATGAGGGAAATTTTGCCAGGACAGCGGTAAAACTTTTCAAATATAGCCTTCAATAATTTAGTGATGGATATTGGACAGATATTCTATTCAAAACAACACAAAACACTGACGGTATATACATACATAGCTCGGTGCTTTTTGTTACCCTATTTTGTAATTACCAGTCAGTTAATAGTTTTCTGTGTTGTATATTAATTATATCCTTTCATACACTTATTAGACTGAATGCTTAAGACATTTTATTTTCTAGGGTATTTTTTAAGATATGAATAATCTATATTTTTATATTATACCCCTGTTGGTGCTTGGAGGAAATCACAACAATGGTAGGCATAAGACAAAGTCAAAGACTGAATCTTCGGGAAATTCTCTTTTCTTGGGAATTCTTTAAGATGTGTATTGTGGTATGTTTTGAGCTCTAGCACATTTTGTAAACCATTAGTTGGTAAGGTCTTGAATTCATTCTCTCCAAGATTCCTGCAAAGATAATAAAACAGTGGTATCAAATCAAATCAAATCAAATCATATCGATATCCGACTGTGTTGTCTTGGACTAACAGGACACGAGCAGGAAAGAAAATATTTTTTTACAAGGATAGCACTACCAGTTTGACTTGTCCAAATTTATTCGCATTGATCTTTCCCGGATTATTCATGTATATTTACAGACAAGAATAATGCGGAAGATGACTTTTTTAGGTTATCAGGCTTTCAAACGAAAACAGATTTAGAACCATCGGCCTCCATTTGCTGGACGTTACCCAACAAATAACTTCATCCGAACTCTATAGCCCAAGGAGCTTTAACCGAATGCTCTACGCACAGGGATTGGAGAGCTGCAATAAGAAGCTTTAAGTGTCCCCTTATACACAAGATATAATAGTTCAGAACTGTGAAAGACAGCCAACTAAAAGGATTTGACTGGACAGAGCAACGGAATACCATAAGCTCTGACTTCGTTCAGAAACCTTACTTACATTGTTGTATGTTTTAATATTGGGAAAAGTAGTAATAAAATAGTGTTGAAACTTAACTAGACTTTACTTTTAAGATTAGAGCTTTGAAATCAATGGAAAATAATTAAATTAAAATCCGTAGAAGTCTTTGTGAACTGGTATGTAATGTTCTATTTATAACTCTATGTATATAACCCAGTTTCTCAAAAGGGAAAAAGTCTATTATCAGTAGATACCATAAAAAGCTTCAAAAATCAACTAGGTTTCGACTAACTTAAAAGTTGAGTAAAATAACTTATTGATTAAATTATTACGGTTTGTACTTAAAATATATAAGTCGATAGATAGAGTCTTCTAAATATAATAATATATTGTCACGATCAAGGCTATACCATCTTCACAATGGTCAAGGCATTACGTCTTCTTCGTATTCCTTGGGCCCACTTTATTGTTGGACGGAATTGGTGAATGCAGAAATTTGATTGGATTGTACGCTAGCGAATACATCCAATCTGAGCTCTGGACAGAAAGACTTAAAAATAATTACGCACAAAATTAAGGGATCCGATTGGCTGTATTCGCTATCGCACAATCCAATCGCTGACCATGACCATGATCTTGACCATTGTGATGATGGATTATACCATGACAAGATACGACTAATCTTAAAGGTACCCAAAACAACCAAAAACTTGCATACTTACAAATCTTCTAAAGATGATAAAGGTAGAAATGCATTGTAATGTATTTCTTTTATACGATTATGAACCAGATCTCTGAAGAACGAAAATATATAATATTATTAAAATGGGGACAAAAAGTATTCACATGAGGATATTATTCAGTAATATGTCAATTTTATATGAAAACCAGACTTATCAAGACACTTTGACCTATGTCACTATTATACCTTCAGATAATAATAATATTCAAACTGAAAATTATCCTTAGACATGAAAAGATGGATTGGATGGTTAGCGTTCTCTCTTTTCAATTTCTAGTTTTTCAAAGCGTAAGATCTGAATGTTTATGTAGTTCGGTTTGTAACATAAAGCTAGGGTGCTCTTTTCATTACCACAGACAATCATTACTGGGAAACAAGTAACGAGCCATACTTTCATATTCATTAGAAATTATCATAGTTGTACACTGCTATAAAGGTATTCAATTACTTTCCGTCAACTAGAAAAACTTAATACGAAATAAGTTATAATCTTTAAATAAAATAAGCTGTTATAGAACGTCTCATATGGAGTGCAATGTATATATGACCATCATCTGTTACAGAAAAAACCCTTGCAAGAAAAAATGTTACCAATGCATCAATGCATCACTTACAGATATTGCAAATTGATTAGTCCTTCAAAGGCATCTTCTGGTATATAGTCTATGTAATTATGGCCTAAAGTTAAATCGCGCAGTTCTGTCAAACCTTCAAAGGGTTTCCCTTCCAATGAAGTGATCTCATTATTGCCGAGATTTCTGGAAGTAGAAAGAAGCCATTGTAAACAATATGCGCCTTGATTGGTGCTAAAAGGAGATTGTTGTAGCAATATATAATATCACTGCCCCAGTTTCTCTAAAAGTGGTATGATCAATTTTTGTCTCGTAAATGTGCTTTAACTCATAAAAGACACAATTGACGTCAAAATCTGGTTTTGTGTCTTGTTTTCAGTAGAAAATGGATTAAAAAGTTCTATCATGCTAAGCAAGAAAGCTTGACCTTGACCTGAATCTGTATCTGTACGCGACACAGTTTCTCGTTAAAGAAAACCTTGACACATTTCAAATCATTTCAGTGTATTTTCTAGAAATTCAAACCGTCGATATCATTGTCACATATTTCATAACTCACGATATATCATATTTCACTTAGATTGTGAACCACCTGTGGGTAATTACCATTAATACGGTACCAAAATAAGGTAATCTGAGTCAGGAAATTGCGATTGGAGAATATCTTGTCAACATGCGAAGGTAATTTGTACATAGCCCTTGTCAACACGAAAAGTTAATTTGTACATTGCTCTTGTCAACACGCACAGGTAATTTGTATATAGCTCTTGTCAACACGCAAGGGTAATCTGTACATTGCTCTTGCCAGCACGCAAATGTAATTTCAGTTTTATACCAGCTCAAGAATTCAAAATTCCAACTTCCGACATTCTCTCATCTCTTGAAACTTCATGAAAATCCCCTGAATCTCAGTACCCCGTGAATCCCAGTGTTCCTGAGTACCATTGGACCTTGAGGGTAATCGATCTAATCGCCTTTTAAGTGGTCTGGTCGTTCCCTAATCATCAATATATGGCTACAGTAAATCCGGTAAAGAGAGGCCAGTATACAGGATGATATTCTGGTATATTAAGACTGTTTCTTTTGTTATATCCATCGAATTCTCGTCGTAATATTTCCCCCCGTGTATTTCTGACATGTTTTAGAATCAAATAAAAAGTTCGGATGTCCATAAAACTACTTTCCAACCTTGACACATAAATATGAATAGACACGATATCTACATGTACATATCCGGCCATTACTGGCCTATGATATCATTTTCTTCACCCAACACCTTGTGTCAGATCTAAAAAATCGGATTACATTTCTTAATGTCAATCTAGAGCCAATTTGGATTGAAATTCATACAACAAATTGATTTTTTAACAGATAATAAGGCATTTGGCTGATAAATGGCCTCAAAACATCTTCAGATGGGATAATGCTAACTTACATATTTAAAGCCTCTTTACACGCAGACAAGTCTGGAATAACAGCAATCCGATTAGAATGAACATCACTGCAAAAACATAATAATTCATGATAAATGACATCTCTGAGCCAGATATCACAATATAGTAGCCTAACAGGTGATTTTAACAATGTTTTCGACAATTTATAGTTTCTCTACAAGATTACCTGTTAAATTATTTACACATTTTACACCGATAATCTTGTAAACAAACAGGGGAAGATAAAATAAGATTTCATGAAAGGCACTCAGAACTCTTTTTTATAGCCTAAGATTCTGAAAGATATATTTAACTAGCTGTGATCATATTATTTCTACTTCATAATTATAAATATATTTTACCAAATGACAGCTTTATAGGTTTAAAGCCTTTTTAAAATTCCTGGTCAAAAATATAATGCCGAGAGTAAATACTGTAATTTCTCCTCTTTCATTGAACTAATGCCCAAAAAAGAACGACCCTTTAAGCAAAAGTGTTATCGTTTTTTCTGGGTGACCCGATATATAAAAATAAAATAAGAAATCGACATGTACAACATCATGGGTATGGCAAAAGAATATATGTAGCGGATCTGGGGGCTTTGGTGGATCAAACATTTGGCGTTTAAATCACTATAAGATGATGCTTAAGAGAAATATTTTCATATATATTGTTGATGTATTAAGCACTTTTTTAACAGTCAAAGTAATTTGTTATTGTAAATTTTGATGTAAATGATAATTGATATTTCTACACTTCAAGAATATATGTTTGCGAAAAATATTCCACGAAACTGTTCTCGTTAGCTTTTAAGATTGGGAGAGTGGTTTGACATATTGAAGTACACTCTACTGTAATATAAGAGACTTGAGAATCTATGTTGATGTTGATCAAATGAGTTGGGTACGTACAAACTTTTCAGTCTAATAAGGTTATGACAAATATAAGTTGGTATTTTATTAATGCTAGCTCTATCAAATCTGAGTATCTCTAGACTAGCTGACATTGATACATCTGGAAACTCTGTCATATCTCTAGCCTCTGATATAGTCCTGAAATAACAAATGTACCTCATTATGATAGTTCTATAATGACAAAGAACATCTTTGATAATAGTTTTATAATGACAAAAAACATCTTTGATAATAGTTTTATAATGACAAAAAACATCTTTGATAATAGTTCTGTAACAACCGCACGTATCTTATGATAGTTCTAAAATAACAAGAAGCATCTTTGATAATAGTTCTATTATTAAAACAATGCATCGTTGATTATAGTTCTATTATTAAAACAAAAAAAAGCATCGTTGATAATTGTTCTATTATTTAAACAAAAAAAAGCATCGTTGATAATTGTTCTATTATTTTTAAAAAAAATGCATCGTTGAAATAGTTCTATTATTAAAACAATGCATCTTTGATAATAGTTCTATTATTAAAACAATGCATCTTTGATAATAGTTCTATTATTAGAACAATGCATCTTTGATAATAGTTCTATTATTAGAACAATGCATCTTTGATAATAGTTCTATTATTAGAACAATGCATCTTTGATAATAGTTCTATTATTAGAACAATGCATCGTTGATAATAGTTCTATTATTAGAACAATGCATCGTTGATAATAGTTCTATTATTTAAAAACAAATGCATCGTTTAAATAGTATTGTAATAAATATACATCTTTGTCGGATATTATTTCTATTATTTACATGTTTCGAAGATGAGATTGATCTCCATCACCTGATTCAGAAAATATTTAATGTATCAAGCCTCAAACATCTATTAAATTCATTTACTCACAATTTTTTCAACATTGGTAATCCTATGAAAGCGTTTCTATGTACAGATGAAATAGGATTGCCTTTTATACACAATACAGTTAGCAGTTGATTGCTAGAAAAACTGTTTCCTGGTAAATATTCTATCAAATTATCTTCTATGTTCCTGAAAATAGGAACGTCTTAAAGAAAAAGAGAATATAATTTTGTTATCTTGTATCAGCATTCATCAAACGAGTTCGAGTTGCTTATGTTCGAGTCTGCATTGACGAGCGACAGAAATCACAGCAAATCATACTATTCGAATCAATTTAAACCATCAGATGTGAATTAATACAAAATATTGTCAGAAGATCATCGCCATAAGGTGTAGTTTGTACCAAAGAATAGGAATAATCCTCTTGTCGTTCTCAAATTCTACGGTTAAACAAGTTAAAAACTGATTAAATCTGCATTATCATCAATGAAAAACTGATTTTGTTAAAATAACGACCATTAGACAAACTCTAGAAAATATATACAGCTTACAATTCTGTTAATGATGATAACACCGAGAAAGCCGGAGGGAGGCGAACTAATTCGTTTTTATTCATCTCCCTGAAAAATATATGATATGTTTTGTATGATAATGAGTATTTTGATTAATGAGACTATTTTAAAGAACAATATCACATTTTGTCGCCAAGACGTCGTTTTTGTGATCCTTTTATTTCAAAGCTCTAGATAATTATTCAATTATCATGTAATCATGTAAAAAATTCAAATAATCACAATTGATTTGAAAGATTTATCTGCGATGTTAATGGTGAGCCCTAATCGACCTTAAAACCACGCTAACCTGTCTTTTGTCAATGGCAAGGGATTCAATGAGATAAACATTTTGTATTGTATTAATATTACATAATAATAATTACATTAATATAATCATAATATCCAATATGGTTACTTGACTAGAGTCAATATACATGATCAATACATGGGCGTTTCTTTGGTAAATGAATATCTTTAAAACAATTGGAAACTTATGAATTGAGAGTTAAGTGACTTACAATATCTTCAACGAGTCCAATCCTCGGAATGCAAAATCTTCAATTGTTTCTATTTGGTTATCGTGTAGTAATCTAAATAATGAAATACACAGAATTTGATTTAACCCAGTCGTAGAGTTCCATCAGATGTTCAGGAAAAGTATATACTTAATAAAACATACATGGAATTTTTTGTTTTAAAAACAAAAAGACAGTTTTTATACTTTTTTTCAAATTTGTGTGTGTGTTTTTGTAATTTAAGTAGATTTTCATTTGCGAATAATTATTACAGTGGGGGTAAAAAATCATGAATTTTTATTGGAACACCCCCTATTTTCTATCATATCTTGCAGCGTGGGTTAAGAAATTTAAATATAATATGATCGAGATTTAAAGCAAAAAATAGATTTGATAACTTCGCAACATTTGATCAAGTTATTCAGTGCCAGTAAATTTGATAACTCTGCAAAATTTGATCAGTAATTCATAAAGAATAAATATGATATCTATGCAATATTTAAATGAGTAAGCAAAGATAAATATGATATATCTTTAAAATTTGTAATCGAGTAATTCAGTAATAGTTTATGTTAATTTGATTATTCTGCAATATTTGATTGCGTAAGTCGGGAAATTCAAGATTTGATCAGTTATTCGACAAAAAAATAATATGATATCTCCACAACATTTGATTGAGTAATTCAGTGCAAGTAAATATGATATCTCTACCATATTTGATTGAGTAATTCAATGCAAGTAAATATGATATCTCTACCATATTTGATTGAGTAATTCAGTGCAAGTAAATTTGATATCTCTACCATATTTGATTGAGTAATTTAGTGCAAGTAAATATGATATCTCTACCATATTGGATTGAGTAATTTAGTGCAAGTAAATATGATATCTCTACCATATTTGATTGAGTAATTCAGTGCAAGTAAATATGATATCTCTACCATATTTGATTGAGTAATTCAGTGCAAGTAAATATGATATCTCTACCATATTTGATTGAGTAATTTAGTGCAAGTAAATATGATATCTCTACCATATTTGACTGAGTAATTCAGTGCAAGTAAATATGATATCTCTACCATATTTGATTGAGTAATTCAGTGCAAGTAAAAATGATATATCTACAATATTTGATTGAGTAATTCAGTGCTAGTCAATATGATATATCTACAATATTTATTTGCATAATTCAGTGCAAGTAAATATATATGATATCTCTGAAATATTTGATTTAATAATTCAGCAAAATTTTATTTGATAGCCCTCATAGAAATATGACAAAGTTTACATTTTTGCAAGATCTGATCGAGTAATTCAACAAATATAAATATGATATCTCTGCAAATTTGATCTAGTAATTCAGCAATAATAATTTAATATTTCTGCACGATTTGTTCGAGTAATTCAACAAAAATAAATATGATATCTCTGCAAGATTTTATTGAGTAATTCAACCAATTTTTTTTGATAGCTCTGCAAGTTTTGTTCGAGTAATTCAGTTATTTTGATTTTTTTATATACGTAGAACAAAAAGTCAAGCGCCACTAACTTTAATTCAGTATATTCTGGGATGTCGCGTACGTCGTAGAGACCATCCTGTGTAAACTGTAACAGAGTTGGATGCAGCATTGCATCAGGAGTGAACAGCAAATTCCTCAACAGGACATTCAAAGACTGATGAAAAACAGATACTTTGCATTTGGGGCTATAAAGACAATAAAATGTACGATCATCCACTTCCTGTTGTGTTTTCAGCATTAGGTCCCAATATATACTGTTATATCTAATATCAAGTATGATTGTGAATTGCATTCATTTGCGAAACAATAGTTCAAAATATAGTGGCGCTAAATTTTTTGTTCCAGGTATATATCTTATGGTGGGTTAAGTACTTACAAAACAACGAGTCCTGATAAATTTTTGAAACTATTGTTAGGAACAATCTTGATTCTGTTAGCAGCTAATGTTCTGAAACATAAAAAATGATATACAACTTTTTACTGACATCAAAACACTCATATTGTCTAACAACAAGTGGTCTCCTCCAAGAATATTTTTTTCTTTTTATCTTCTTTTGAAAGGAGCTGCTGCGTCTAAATCGATGGTTTTGTATAGTACACAAGCACTGCGTCCGCCATCCATTGTGAAAACAAGATCTCAAAATATATTAGTCCCAACCAAAGTCAAAATAATAGAATGACACCGACAGAGAAGAGAAGAGAATATATTGGGTTATACGATTTTCAATTTTTATTTCATAATATGGCATAGAAATACCAAATAATTATTACCTAAGATGAAAGACATCTTAAATTCTAAAGAAAATTCTGTGGTTCTCTAGCTTTTTTTTAGAAGTGGAATCTGGTATAACAAAAGGAGACAGATCGGATCACTATATCTTTTAAACAATATGTTACAAGTATTTTTTGCTATAAAATCTTGTCTATTGAAGGCTAAGTTGTTTTTACCACTCATCAAAACATGAAAAACAAAAATAACTCATTTTATATTAAGAAGTTTGAAGTTGTGTTCTATTGGCTTTTGCGAGTTGAATGAGAATCATAACAAAATTATAATGTGTCCAACTTAAGCCGGCTACTCAACAGTGCACTGGCCTGACAAGATAAACTACACTTTCACATGATATTACATTGGGGAGAGTGTCCATCGTGGTAATATAGCTAACTTGTGTGAGATGGTCCAGCACTGTACTCCGGCCATGTCATTGATCAGATTATGGAAGAAGGTCCTCTGTTGTACTATGGTCAGCCGATGGGGGGAAATCCACTGTTCTATTATTGTCGGCTTATGGGAGAAGATCCACTGTTGTATCATGGTCAGATTATGGACAAAATCCATTGTTGTAGTATGGTCAGCTGATGGAAGAAAATCCACTGTTGTATTAATTACCATGGTCAGCTTATGAGAGAAGGTAAACCGTTGTACTATGGTCAGCTTATGGGAGAAGATCCACTGTTGTATCGTGGTCAGATTATGGACAAAATCCATTGTTGTACTATGGTCAGCCTATGAGAGAAGATTCACTGCTGTACTATGGTCAGCTTATAGGAGAAGGTCCACTGTTGTAGTATGGTCAGCTGATGGAAGAAAATCCACTGTTGTATTAATTATCATGGTCAGCTTATGAGAGAAGATACACCGTTGTACTATGGTCAGCTTATGGGAGAAAGTCCACCGTTGTACTATGGTCAGCTTATGGGAGAAGATCCACCGTTGTACTATGGTCAGCTTATGGGAGAAGGTGCACCGTTGTACTATGGTCAGCTTATAGGAGAAGGTCCTTCGTTGTACTGTGTTTAGCTTATGAGAGAAGATCCACTGTTGTACTGTGTTTAGCTTATGGGAGAAGGTCCACTGTTGTACTGTGATCAGCTTATGGGAGAGAATTCACTGTTCTTTCAGCTTGTAAGAGAAGGTCCATTGTTGTACTTTGTCCATCTTAGGGAGAGTGTCTACAGTTAATGGGAAGGCTATGAACCATAACTACATTCAGTTCCTATTTGGGATGATCTATGCCGCCTGACTGGGTAAAAAAGGTAACCAAATTTCAGGTTTCAAACTGATCTGTGAATTTCGTGATATTTCAACGCTAAAGAACATGTTTACTCAAACTACTAAAGAAATAGCAATAGTTTTTTTTATATTAACCTATAATCATTCCTTAATCACCACATAAAATATTTTCAATTATCGCCTGAATAACTTTATCACTGCACTTAAACCAATGTTAAAGCTAAAAGTAATTTTAGCGATGATCTTTAGTGACTTAATTACAAGATGATGTCAAGTTGTCAACGCACAGAAAGACCATTAGTAAATTACACATCAATACAAAAAAAACAAATGGTAATATCGGCTGATAGGATGCATTACTGGAAACATTTACACTATCAAGGTCCATAAGAGAAACAGAAAATCTTATCCTTTAACAAGGCCGTTAAGACAAAACTGGAAAGGTCAGTTAATAGTCAAAATAACTTCACCTAGTTAAAAGTCAATGTCTGTCGTTTCCGACCTAGTTACAGGGCAAGGTCAGTCAGAACAAGAGGGAACATGACCTTACAATACCAGAAGTAACTTCACCTAGTTACAGGGCAAGGTCTGTTAACACCATAAGAAAACATGCCTTAATTACAAGACAAGGCTTGTTAAAACAAGAAGAGAATTGTTCAGTTAAGACAAGGTCAGTCGAGAGAATAAAAAACTTGACCCAGTTACAAGCCAAGGTCAGTAAAGAAGAATTTTTGACCGAATTACAATGCAAAGGTCAAGACATACAATAAATGACTCGAAAATAAATATTGTATTTGACCGTATACTTACAAAGCTTCTAAAGATGAAGTATATTGTAAAGCTTCCACAGGAACTGATGTTAATCTGTTAGCATTTAAATACATATGTTTTAATGACACCATATTTCTAAAACTGTCTGGTGCGACAAAGTCTATCTGATTTGCATCTAGATGTCTGAAATGTACATTAGAAAAAAATCAAAGCTGTGTTCAGCAAAATGTGCGTAAAGGGCAAATAAGAAGAAGGGCGTCTAGTTAACCTTTGACATGTTAGAATAGGTACATTTAATAAAACTGATAGAAACCCCATAGCTTTTGTTAAAGTAATCATTTTCTAGAGTCAAATACTAAAGGCGTGTACTCCTGGTTGGAAGTGGTTGAGAGCATGTCTGAATTTTTAACAAAGAAGACTTACAATTGTTTTAAATTTCTCAGGTTTTTAATGGTGTCACTGGGAATTTTGTTAAATCGATTTCCTTGTAAGCACCTGAAAATTAAAAAAAGAACTACGAAAAGAGAATAAAAATATATATACAATTAGCTCAAGGAAGATTCTCTGATATGAAATGGTTGTGTTAGTAATGATATAAAGCAATAGTATTCTATGTAAAAAGCTAAATAAATCAATTGCAGCACATTTGTCAGTTTTTGGGCGCTGTCCTCAATGAAAGGTGTGGCGTCAGACAGGGCATGCTTACTATTCTAGACACCTGTTACCCCTTTTAATTATGAAAATGATTACTCTTTTATGATTTATATACATGTATTTCCTCATGTGAAAAAGTTAATACTTGGTTTATTTGTGCTGGTAATTGAAAGCTATAGAATTATTTTGCGTTGCGTATAATCACGAACCTCTGGGTTTACAACTTTGATTAATCTATTCTCATGCCACTTTTAAATCCTTCAATTAGACATAGATTTGTATACTTACAGAACTTGTAGTAATTTATTATTTTGTAATAGTCTAACAGGGAGCTCTTGAATATTGTTACTAACCAAACGTCTGAAATACAGAATGTTCATATCATAGTTGTTTTTTAATGAATATTTCATTCTTAAAAACAATAAGTATACATAGACAGTTTATGAGACTAATATGTCTTGATGTATAATTGCAAATCTAAACTTCCCCCACAATGTATTCAGTATAAATTTTGCAATAAAACGCAGTGTCTATTTTATGAACGATTCAATAGTAAAAAGCGCAGTTGTCTAAAATCAAAACATCATCATATAATTATTTACGAAGTTGGTAAAAATTTCTATATACAATTCAGGTTAATAATGAAGTATATTAGTTTAACATATTTAAATAAATTTCGCCAACAATGTATTCAATATATATTTGGCAATATAACGTACGGTCTATATTATAAAACAAGACATAATATAGTATCATCAAATAATCTTTTAAAAAGTTTTTGATATCATAATAATGGGTCTACTTACAATTCACGTAAATACTGCAGTTTATTAAATGTTTCTTTGGGTATTGTTGTTATATTGTTCATACTCAGATCTCTGAAAAAACAAAAAGTGATCTTTTATAAGTTTACTAACACTAAAGATTGATAGCCAGTGTCATCTGTGAAAGTCCGATATAATACGCGATATTTCATTTCTAATTATTTTTTTCAGAGAAATTTCTGATACGCCATTAATCGTGGACTCATCTGTTTGATTTGATATCTCTTTTGTCCAATTGTGTTTATCTGAGAATTTTGTAGCACAGTGAATTTATATTCATTTATTTATTTGTTCGTTTCTTTATTTGCTTAATTTACTCTTTTTTAACTTTATTACCAATGCCTCTAACGGTGCTTTTTGTAGCAGGCATTAATCATTAACCATCCTCCCAATGCTTAGATACAAGGTTTCAGCTATCTTTTCAATCTAATATATTTACGCTCTAAAGATTGGCCAGACATGATTTGTATTGGAAACTGACAATCTGTTTTCTTGCTCCCTTGATAACCGAGAATAGACGAGAATAATGGCACCATTCCATCATTATTGAACAGATTTAAAACTTAAGATAGTCTTTTTACTGTCTTCTATTGACCGATATTGACCAAACATTGTTTGTTAACTCGACCCGTGTTTACTCAGGCTCAAAGATAATTCAGTTTTCCCGTATTTCAGTGGGAATTGATACAGGATTAATTTACTCAAAGACTTCAGTTCTATTGAACAGCGGGACAACCTAACGAAGCATCTTGTAAACATCTACCAGTTGATGAATACTGGATTTTTCTGACTTTTCCCTTATGACCATCGTAAATAGACAAGGTGTTTGAAGAAAATATTATTTTTGACAAGCCCTTGTAACCTGGTTGTATGTTGTAAAAAGTTGCCTGGACTGGAGACAAAAGAGGTCACCGCTAATGCTATTACCTCCTGGGGTCGTAATGGAACAAAAGGGTATAGTAGCATTTACTATACTCTAGAATTATCTGGACAGGTCTATTGTTACCTATAAGTACTTACTATAAGATTAACATCTTGAGTATTGTTAATTGAGTACATGGTAACAATAGAAAATAGACTATTTTCTCCAGATGTCGGCTCAAATTATTTTCTTTGTTCAGAGCGACACCTATCGGAGGATATATATAGGGCGAAAACATATTTTGGGGACTCTCGATTTGGCAAGGAAGGAGGAAGGACATAGGCTTCATTCTTTAGCTGCGGAGAAGATCGGATCGTTCTAATATTCTAAGATCTTGGGTATACTTCTTGGATTAGTGTAGATCTCCCGTTATTGAATGTGAATAAAGTGTTGTTAATATCTTAGCTGTTATCTCATTTGGAAAGTAAATTCATAGCCGATAGAAGTCCGTATCCAGTCTCTTACCAACGACTATACAGTTGGTAAGAATAATCTACTTTGCAGTTTGCAAGTAGAACCCAACAAACAAGCCTGCCAACAATCAGCTTGTCTACACCCTGAACAATAAAATGGTTGGTATCGTTGACAAAGTATGGTTATTTGAGCGACTATTCGGAACTGCATGGATTCATGTGCCCATTTTCTACATACATAGAATTGAGACCTCATACACTCCCTCGACATGTTACTTGACATGACAGAGATTGACTGAAAATAGCTTGACATTTGAACAGACATTTTTAACTATAATCCTCTTAGAAATATGTTATATTATATAGATCTTATCTTTATTTCAATCCCACAGTCCACATCTGTCAAAATGTAACTATTAAGGATTCCACCTCAGAACGTGTGAAATTGTGATTATCTTCAGGGAATAGCTTCCGTTTAAGAAAAGTGGAAATTTAATAAAACGTATTCAAGTTATATCTAAAGGTGACAACTCAGATAGATGTCCCATCCTCCTTAGTTCAAATCCTATTTACAATAATTACTTTTAGTTCTTTTACACATTTAATCGAAATAAATACAGTTCTGGACTGGACATTTTCAGAATCTTCGTTCATGACAATACCCTCAGTTGTATTGTATTTGTTTCGCCTGTGTTATTATTATAATGGTCGGTTGAAAGAGTTGTGTCGGTTAATAAGGGTGTGTCGGTTGATTGAGTTGGATGGTTCATTGGGATTGGTCTCTTGATTGGGTTGTCGGTTGATTGGGTTGAGGTGGCTGATTGGCATGTGTTGGGATGGTTGGTTGGAGTGGGTCGATTAAGTGATTTGTCAGTAGAATGAGTTGTCGAATCATTGAGATGTGGGTTGTGGGTTGATTGAGTTTAGATGGTTGATTGGAATGGGGCGGATGAGTGCGTTGTCGGTTGAGTGTTGATTGGGAATGTGTTGGTTGATTGAGTTTAGATGGTTGATTTAGATGGGTCGGTTGAGTTGTCGGCTGATAGGGATGTGGTCGTTGATTTGGATGATTTGGTTGTATTTGTTTTTTTACAAAGGATATGTAGGTGATTAATCTCCAACCTGTTGAAATCTAATCGTGCGGTTTTTAAGTTTCAAATTAAACCGAAAGACAAAACTAAAAAGAACTTTATTAATGAAACCGACCTAATTTTTTTTCAAAATGAAAGTCTGTAAAAATAGATCAAAATTACGTATACTATAAATAAATATTACTAAGATGATTATTCCCCAATTGTGTAGCTAATGGTCCTCATTATAACATATATAATAATCCCATTGGTCATTATTATATTCAATAAATCACGTTTCATTTTAAGTTTCAATTACAAATTTTCAATTTGACCTAGATTTCCTATATAGAAACACTCATTAACTTCATTGTTCTGATGACATTGTGGGTGTAATGAAACTTTTGATGAGAGTGTTTGCTGGAACAGCCATTATCTTGTCAATTTCTAGTCTAAATAGCTAACTATTATCTGCTACAGCTTGGTCTTGGAACGGTTAACTAAATATATGAGCCTTTTTATGCAATATTTGTTGCCGACATATATTCCAAAATCCCAAACTATAACTTGTTCTCCGAATAGATTGAAATAAGACATAACATTTTTGACATTCACAAGGAAGTGAAAGATAAGGTTGATTTACAATTAGCGTAAGCGACGATATATAATATACATTTCCGGAGATTTAAACCGTAAAGTTTTTCATTTATTGTGACAAATATGAATAGTTCATTTGGTTGTGTTATAATTCGAGGCTGAATAAACTCGATGTCGAAAGTTTTCTTAATATAACTATAAATAATAATATTCATGTGAGGTCAAAATAGGGCGAAATATTTAGAGTATTATATCCCTTTTAATATGTAATCTGAAATGACAAAATTTTAAATGCAAGCAGTAACTCTTTGGTCCAATATTTACACAGAATTGTAATGTTGCTAGCTTCTCAATACCGTTTCAGAAATGAATGCTGGTCAAGAGACTGGGATCTTAGGATTTCTGAGCGCGCTTTGTACACACTTAGACCTAGACAAACTGACTCAAATAGTTTTATCTAATAACACTTGATAAACTTCAACCATTGTGTTGGCGATTAAATTTTCTTTTGAAAAGGCTGGAATGGCGTAGACAATTACTGGGCCTGGCTTTCATCTCACCAAGTAACTTTGATGACTATGATTCGAGCAAAATGAATTGGGTTTAAAAAAATCGCTGTCATATCTTTCGCGTTTTTTTATGGATATGTAACTTCTCTAAATGCATTCGTCGAATACATACACAATCGGATACTGTAGTGTCTCTGCTGGTGGACACCGTTTTCTAGTCCGTTGTTTAGATTCACGACGACCATAACTTCTGCGGGGTTGAAGTGACATACCTTTCGGAGGGAGCATATATTATTGAAAATATTAATTTTGAAAAAATCCACTTCAATCGTTCATGTCTTCCGAAATTATTAGATTTTACATAAAGAAATAGGATAATATTACAATATTTAGTATAATTGGTAATTGAGGGCAATTGACCGAATATAAAAATACTACAAATTGAGTAAAATTGTCAAAGTTCTTTTGTTATAAGCGTTCAATATTCTTCTAGCCAGACATACAAAACAAGACATATTTAATATCATCAAAAGATACACTTTCATATATAATGAATTAAATCTTTCCTGAAAAAATCATTAGCTAAGTGGATCAGATAGAATTACCAATTGATCAGTTCAAGCCACCTGAGGATATTATGAAAATTAGGTTAAGAATTTGATTAATGTACAATTACCCCAGATCACCAGATATTTAGTACAATGATATTTCCTAGTCTTAAAACCACGTTCAATTTTAAAAGGGCATTTGGTATTATGGGGGTTTTCTTGAGTAGACGATTACTAGATATTCTTACTTTTAGAATAACTATTAGGCCTACACAATTCTATCCTGTTTCACTTCAGGAGGTAAGTCTAGTATTAGGGACCGTGGTAAATTAAAATAGTGAAGTATAAATATTAAAGGTGACACGTTTGTTTTGTAATTATGAACACATGCACGGAACTTTCGACGGATAGATAACAAAAATAGTATAGGCTAATAAGGTGCAAAAAAAAGGTAGACGTAACAATCCATTTCATTCATTCAATTCATTGTGTTGTGGTAGACTAATAGATTAAACACGTAACAGGAAGTACCTGTCTGAAACGGTATTATAAATATATTGATTAGACTGAACGAGCAGTTCTTGATCAGTAAAGATCTTTTATCTGTATCTGTATCAGTCGGAAGTTGGTCAATGTTGAAACAAAATTAGCATTTGTTTGGCCCTTTACAAATAAGATACATTCACAGTCTGATTCTTTATTACATATTATACCTCTCTTGAAGCGGAGATGAGTTAGATCCATTCTGTATGTTATTTTTACCGTGATCGAATGCACGGTAAGGTATTTCGACACCAAATTAAGGGAAATTACCTGCAAATTTCCACTCATCTTCACTCAATTTAACTTTGTTTAAGTAGCTCATTATTATTTTGTCAACTATTATCAGAAGCTTATTAATAAACCGACAACCCGTCCAAACCGACAGTTTCTATTGGCCCCGGTGCGATTTAGAGCGGGTTTACTGTACAATGCTTAAACAGCTGACAAATTTC